TCTCTCTGTCTTTCTGGCAAGCATATGTGCCTTATAGTAAAATATGTCTCATAAAATAATAATAATGTTAAAGTATGAGTATATTATAGAAATAATGAATGAGCAAGCAGAACGCACCCCTATCCTGTATTTCCATATGGCTCCAAGCAGATTGTTGAGCTCTCAGTCCTGTAGAAGCGAGAGTCCTTGAGGTACGTTAACACAGGAAAGAGCACATGGAGCCCCACTGGAATGTGAGTGTTACACAGCTGTGGACAGATGGCACCAGTTGCTGAAGGCCTACTGTTCCCTGTACTGAATTCTGAGCCACTACAAGTGCTCAGGATGGAGAAGAACTTTCTTATCCCGTTCCACTCCAGATTAGTACAGAGGCCCAAATCACTCTATTTTTTGCTGAGACTGGATTTTCTAGAACTTGACACCAAAGGAGCAGGAGGGAACAGTTGCTATATTTTCTATACTTGTTCGAAGAATGTACTAACTGGGACCAGTGTCTTCATCCTGGATGGTACTTGTTCAGCTCCTGCAAGAAAATGCTGTTTACAAGAACAGACATGGTGGGAACCAGCAGTTAGCGTAATGGCTATGTTGCTGGACTCCCAGGGGCATTGGGATTTATTTTAATAGGGAAGGAGACCCTAACTGCTGTTCTATCCGGCAGTTCCATCAGCATCCAAGAGGACATGCCTAAGTTGGCATCATCTGGGCCTTTCCTACGTGATTACATTGAAGGTTTGGGAGAGTGAGCAAAAGGAGGAAGAAGAAAGGAAAACCTGCTGGGAGTTATTCCTCCCTTCCAACTAGAAGAAAAGCCTAGTGCCTGAACATGGTAGGCATCCCGTAAATAATCTTAAAGTAGGCCAGCAGGTGGTGTAGTGGTTAAGACATTGTACTAGCACAAGGTTGACCGCAGAGTCCCAGACCCAGTGGTTTGAAATTCACACTGAGTACGGATACCAAAGTCCGGAGAGGAGAATGGAGGAGAAAGGATTGTGGTATGGCCATTCCCCTTGGGGGTGATTTCTTTTTTTCTGTTTCTCTTTCTCTCTCTGTCTTTCTGGCAAGCATATGTGCCTTATAGTAAAATATGTCTCATAAAATAATAATAATGTTAAAGTATGAGTATATTATAGAAATAATGAATGAGCAAGCAGAACGCACCCCTATCCTGTATTTCCATATGGCTCCAAGCAGATTGTTGAGCTCTCAGTCCTGTAGAAGCGAGAGTCCTTGAGGTACGTTAACACAGGAAAGAGCACATGGAGCCCCACTGGAATGTGAGTGTTACACAGCTGTGGACAGATGGCACCAGTTGCTGAAGGCCTACTGTTCCCTGTACTGAATTCTGAGCCACTACAAGTGCTCAGGATGGAGAAGAACTTTCTTATCCCGTTCCACTCCAGATTAGTACAGAGGCCCAAATCACTCTATTTTTTGCTGAGACTGGATTTTCTAGAACTTGACACCAAAGGAGCAGGAGGGAACAGTTGCTATATTTTCTATACTTGTTCGAAGAATGTACTAACTGGGACCAGTGTCTTCATCCTGGATGGTACTTGTTCAGCTCCTGCAAGAAAATGCTGTTTACAAGAACAGACATGGTGGGAACCAGCAGTTAGCGTAATGGCTATGTTGCTGGACTCCCACGTAGTCAACCACGGTTCGCGTCCTAGACCCGGTGGCTTAAAACTCACGCCAGGCGTGTGTGTGTGCATGCCCAAGACCCCGAGAGGAGAATGGAGGAGAGGGGATTGCGGCGTGACCATCCCCCCTGGGGGGGTGATTTCTCGCTTTCTGTCTCTATGTCTCTCTCTGTCTGTCTGGTGAGCGCACATGCCCTATAGCGAAAACCTCTCAAAAAAAAAAAAAAAAAAAAACAGACATGGCAATAGGCTGGAGCTTATGATCTATAAGACTGGACCACAGAAAAACCATCCCAGATGCCCAACAGAGCAATTAAGATGTTGGGCTCAGAAGCCAGTTGGTCAGGCCCATATTTTTCTCTTTGTTTTTCAAAGCTCACCCATCCGTTTTTGTTTTGTTTTTGTTTTTGTTTTTGTTTTTGTTTTTTCCATGAGACAGGTACCTTCCATAGGGTCTCTATGCCAAGATCCACCTCCAGTTCCAGCCAGCCCAGATCATAAGTACAGTAGGGCCCTAGGATACAAAACCAGGATCCTCCAATGTGAATCCAGTTGAACTACCCTTGTGCCACCATCTAGCCCCAGGCCCATATTTGAATCCAGCCCCTTGATTAACAGTTGTGTGACGTGGGCAAGTTACTGTACTTTTCCAAAACTGTTTCCTCATCTGTCAAAATGGAGAGATAAGGGAGGGGAAGGAGCATTAAAAGAGATGATGTAGGTAAAGGTAGGCACACAGACTGCCTCAGTACGTACTTGGGTGACACCAACAATCATTTCTCTTTATGCTGGGGGCTCTCCATGGGAAACAAAAATTCATACGATGGAAAGACTGCCAAGTGTTCATATGATTCCATCTTATTTTCCACTTTTTAAGTACTGTAGACTTAAAGATATCCATGAAATTAAGTTGTGAGTAGGTAACTGGCCAAGAAGATGCATGCACAAATAATTCACACCACATCTAGGCTTGATCTCAAAAAAGGTTCGGACTTGTGCTCTCACCCTTATTTACACAGCTAGAAATGAAGAGCCCAGAGATGGCAGAACCACAGATGGAAGATTCTGAGGGCCTACTTGGGGTGACATGAAAAGAAATCTGCCTGGCCTGATTGGACTTTGTGAGAGTAGGACATCATTTCTTATTATATTAAGCCACTAACATTTGGGGGCTCATTTATTATTTCAGTATAGCATGGCCTGTCCAGACTATTCACAAAGGAAAACTAGCACAGGGAGTGGCTGGAGGAACCAGCTGGTCAAGATACACTGGAGGGGACGAAGGTGGCGCAGTGGTGAAACATCATGCTCTGCAAGGCTGACCTCAAGGGTGGGTTCCAGGTTCACATCTAGAGACCCAAGTATCCCGGGAACATCCATGCCCATGACCCAGGCTGGCCGAACCTGGGGATGGATTGTGGCTTTGGGATCTGTTGGGAATGCTGTTCTTTCCTCTCTCTCATGAAAGAAATTAATTTTTAAAAAATAAAATACACTGTATATCCCCAGTCAGGCAGAAAAAAAAATTTTAAGAGCAAAATTTTTGCTATAGAGTATGTGCACACACTGGAGAGACAGAAAAAGACAAGAGAGACAGAAAGCAAGAAATCACCTCCCCATGAGGGATGGCCACACCAGTCTCTTCTCCTCTATTCTCCTCTCAGGATTTTGGGCCTGCACACACACACACACATACACACGAGTGAGTTTTAAGCGGCTGAGTCCAGGGCCCAAAGAACGGTCAACTATGTGAGAATCCAGCGACATAACCATTTCGTCATCTGCTGGTCCCAACAATTCTCACAATTTTAAGACAAAATTGATTGCTAATTTCCCACACAATTTCCTCCTGGGACCAGACATGTGTGCTGCTATAAGGCAGGTCTTATGACATAACCACTTAGTCTGTACTCTCTGGTCTTTGCATAGCATCACTGATGTTCCACTTCCATACCCCAAACTTTGCCTGATTCTGTGTATTAAAAACATCCTTGGAGCTGGCAGTGGTGGTTGAAGATGCTGGATTCTCACATAGCCGACCACGATTCGAGTCCCGGGCCTGGTAGCTTGCCTTTTCGCTTTCCCTTTCTCTTTCTGTCTCTCTCTGGTCAAATTAAAAATAATAACAAATGGAATTAAATAAACAATTATTTCTTTTTTAAAAAGTTCTCTCCACAAATTTTAACTGGCAATAAATTTCTGCAGTGGAAACATACTCATTTAAAAGTGCATGCTGTGACTTGAATCCCATCTGGGGACCGCCTGTCAAAGAAAGCAGCCATTTGGGACCAGCAGTTAGCGTAATGGCTATGTCGCTGGACTCCCACATACTTGACAGCGGTTTGTGTCCCGGACCCTGTGGCTTAAACTCACGCCGGGCGCATGTGCGTGCGTGCCCAAGATCCTGAGAGGAGAATGGAGGAGAAGGGATTGCGGCGTGACCATGCCCCCTGGGGGGTGATTTCTCGCTTTCTGTCTCTATGTCTCTCTCTGTCTGTCTGGCGAGCGCACGCGCCCTACAGTGAAAATCTCTCCAAAAAAAAAAAAAAAAGGAGCTGTCAATCAAGTATACCACAAGGGTGGGCATGTGATCCAGGTTGGCCAATCAGAGCACCTCTCTTCCTAGACTCACATCTTGGTCTGGGTTCCAGGATTATTGTGAGCTGAATTTCCTCCTCTGAGAACTTTGAATACATCCCCTTGCTATGCTTCAGCTCTTCTGGGTAGTTTTCTGTTACTCCCATTCTATCAGTTACTTGACTAAGACAAAACCAACCAAATAAAGAAGCTAGGTCTCAGATAAGTTCAGTTCAATGTAATTTTATTAATTTAAAAATAAAAACAGAAACCAAAAAAGAAACAAAACAAAAATCAGTTTCCAATGAAAATACGAACACTTTGGGTAGTTATCCAGCTATTTTTCCCTGTAGGCTGTTCTGGGCTCAAACCAATCAAAGGAGTAAAAACCAATTTTGATGGGAGCCATAAAGCATGTTGCACCAATTAAATTACACCAATATATTATTATAATACCTTTGAAATGCCTCTTAGACCAATAAATAAAAAGACAAATTCAAATAAACAAGTCAACTTTTATTACCCCCCCAAAAAATAGAAATTAAATAAAAGTCACAACATGGATTTTAAAAAAATGTGCAGTCAAGTTTCTCTCTTTTTTTCTTCTAGGAATGATACCATGCCAGTAAGTCCCTATAGAACATTTCCAGTTTGGCAACAAGCAGTCAGTCCATCATTCACATTTGTACTCAAGACAGCAGGCCCGGGCAAAAAACAAAAACCCTGAATTTCACCCTGGAAAGTGCTCCCCGTCATCTGAAGAAGTAGCACCTGGTAACAGGGATGGAAATTCAGAGAGCACGTAGCGTTTTCATTTCACCTGGGGTCTTGAAGCACTTCCTGAAAACTGATCGCGCCTTGTAATTTACCTGTAAAAAGAAGTATTCTACCCCTTTGGCAGAGTGTAAACTAAGACACAGAGACCCGGAGAGGCCCCACAGAGTCAGCAAAGGGCCAGGAGAGCTGACATCCCATCTCCTTCTTTGTCCACCGGGTCATGAAAAGTGTCTCTCACATATAATTCCATGGAAATGAATCAAGCACAGCTTCTTAGATGGGAATTGGCTGGTAGGGATGATAGGGCTTAATCGGGAACCAGCGGAGCTGCTGTTAAAGTTTCTTTCCCTCCTCTTCCAAGTTTTTCTTTGAAAGGACAGTCCACATCACATCTAGAATCAGAGGGTGTCATCTGAATGTCAGAACTGAGCAGACTTAGACCATCCCTCCAGTCCTCACTAAAAGGAAAACTTAGCCCCTAAAACACTGCAAGCGTCGTGAGCACACCAGGACTCAACTCTTGAGTTTCTGCCTCTGGGCAGAAGACCTGCTTTGACAATCCACTGTCTGAGTTTATTGACAAAAGAGAATATACAGGAGTTCTGGGGAGAGGAGAAGGGAATAGAATGATTTTCCTTAGCCATGTCATTTTTCCTTACAGGTCAGAACAATGGAAAAGACTAAACAGACTTAATCACCTGGCAAAAAAGAAAAAATACATAGACTAGTAGGTAGGTGTCATACCTAAGTCATACTGACAGCTACATGTGAGGCCAGCTGCCATGTGCGAGGGGCCAGTGGTGTGGCAGTAGAGGCTGTTCAGAAAAGTCACATAAAATGATGCAAGAAGTGGGGAGCTCAGAGGTTGCATTTCCCCCCCACCTCAATCTGCGATCTACAGATTTTTCTTCCCTTTAACTCTACTGGAGTTCAGGAAGGAGGTGGAATTGAATGAAAGGAAACTGAGCAGCTTCCCAGAATACACTGCTCAGTTCAACCTGAAGGAATGCACAAGTCCAAACACCATGCTAGAGGCAAGGGGAGAAACAGAACCTACTCATTAAGGAACAGGCATTTTACTCTAACTAATGTTCTTAGTGAGGGAAGGTGAATTCCCCCTAGGAAATATTGTTTGTTGTTTTTTTCCAAAGATAATTCTAGGACCAGTTCTCCATCTATCTAAGTGGCTATCTTGAAAGGATTTCAATTTACTGAGGCCAGAAGAAACTGGAGTCATTCCAGAGATCACTCACTTCAAACCCAATATCCTGAATTTGTCCCACCATGGGAGTGACATTTTGTGACCTATGTAATCTGGGTGTTCAGAAAGTATAAGCCTAGGATTTTTTTTTTCCTTTCAGATAAGAATCCTCTCACACCTCTTTCCAGCCTCCTCCAGAACCACTTTGATGACTTACAATGAAATGTTCCATATATGTGTGTGTGTGTGTGTGTGTGTATATACACATTCCTCCCAACACACTCTCTGCTTCTTCAATTCCATTTCAATTTAAGTGGACAGAACTTTCTTTTATCCCAAAGCCCAGGAATTCATGTCAAAGTTCAAAATCATGACACAGGATAGACATTTAGGGGGGAAAATACTTTCTGTCTGACTGTCCTTTCTTCATGCACCTACGTATTAACTCCCTAGAAGCACACTCATCTATCTACCTCTGAGATTCTACACTCACAGGTGAAAAAAACCATTTGCCAGCAGAGAACAGAGCCAGTGGTTGGGCCAAGTAATCCTTTGGAGACGACAGACAGTATCACATCCAACTCAAAGCACTCATAAGGTGAGAACCCAAGAGGCAGGATTCCAGTTAATTTTGATACTGGAAGGAAAAAGACAAGTTGCCCCTTGCTGGAGGACATCAACTTCCATTCAGTTGTGCAAAGACCCCTGAGGGTCTCATGCTCTATTATTACACAACAGTTTTGACCTCTAATATTGCCAGCTTTTCCCCTCACCACCCTCAGGGGTTTGCTCTAAGGAGCAGAGCAGGAATCAGGGAAGAGGAGGTGGACAGCAAGGAACTGACAAATCACCATGGCTTGACTCTCTGCCCTTCACAGAGTTCAGCACACTCCCTCTCTGAACAAGGCCCTGTTTTCAATAGAGTAGCAAGTTATCAAAGAGCATGAAAGATACCTTAACCTAATTTCCAGGTCTCTAGCCAGGTCAGGTTGACAGCCACACTTGAGCACTGCTGCCTCCCTTCTAATTCCCACGGCGGCCATTACTATTCAGTCATAGTACTCCTTCCAGACATGCCTGGGTTACTCAAAACAGCATGCCCAGCAGACACTGTTAGTCAATCATCACTTCAAGTTCAGGTTGCTGAAATTACTTGCCAACCCCATGCAGTCAGACTAACTTGCTAATATGAGGAGAAAAGGAGCAAGCTCCTTGGGCCCACCCACAGCAGATGGCCCTAGTCTTTCTTGACCTTTACCCAAAAGCACTGGAGGGCTTCTAGGGAAATGTCTCTTCCCCTGTACATATCTGTTTCCTTTTCTCTCACTAAGTGCTGGCCAATTCCACCTCTCCTGGACAGTTGGTCTTCTAAGAGGTGCTATAAAGCAAATGCCAGTTAGACCCAAATTCTAACTGGCAGTTGGCAGAACTGGCAAAGAGCCCTCTTCTCCCTTTTAGTTGCTTGCTCAAGGCTACAAACGTGGCCAAGCAAGATGGTGCCAATCCTTTTTAGTCTATTGTCATGGCCAGCAAGGAGGTAGCTGGCCTGTTAGCAAGTCTGCTCCCCTTCCTCCCTGGTGCCCACCACCCTGCCCTGACCCTGCACCCTGGAGAACTAGTTGAGCTTGCTGCAGATCTCCAGTGCTTTCTTGTAGACCTGAGTCACGTCATCCATATCTGTGAGGAGGGAGAAGCTGCTGTCCGCCAGCCGGTTCCGGTACCGCTTCAGGTACTGGGGCCGGGGCCGGTTCTGGAGCCCCTCAAAGTCCTGGATCTGGAGGAAGTTTTCGGCAGAGACACAGCTGCGGATGCGCTGGCGGGCAGGGCGGTTCTCCTGCAAATCTAACAAGTCAAACGAGTCACTGGACAGGACACTGTCATCGCTAATGACACTAGAAGGACGGCTATAGCTCCGGGAGAGGCCCTCGACAGGGACACCAGGTTCTGACAAGGATTCCAGTGTGGGCATTTCAGGGCTGACAAGGGCTGGGTCCATGGTGCCCGCTGAGTACTTGCTGCTGTGTTTCAAGATGCCCTTCCTGCGGCAAGACAAGCTATGAGAGGTCACCCTGGCAGGGTCTGGGGGACCAGGGGATGGGATGCTGCTGCCCATCACGTCATTACTGTCCAACAGCTCTGAAGATTCACTGCGCTCTGGGGATGAGTAGTAACCTGATTCTCTCTGCTGGGTCTTTTTCAAGATACCTTTCTTGGGCATTGTGGCCGACTGTTTGGGGCTCAGTTTCCCTGGCACCTCTGCCTCAGGGGAGCTTGGGAGGGGCATGCCAGTCCGGCACAAGTCCTGCTCCATCTTGAAGGTAGAGGGTAAGGCAGGGCCTACAACGCTTTCAATGAAGCCAGTGCTGTGAGAGCGATGTTCGCTGTTGCTTCTCTTCTTCAGGATCCCCTTAGGCCTCTTAGAACTCAACTTGGTTGGACTTTCAGGCACTAAGTCTTGGCCAGACTGAGCAAAGTCATTTTCTTTCTTGGATTTCTTCAATGACCGCTGCCGCTCCAGCATGACTTCAGAGTTCCCAGGTTTGGCTATACCCTTAATTTTGGCTTCTGCCTCAGCCTGCAGCCCGGTGGAACGGTGGTGCCAGTCGATGATCCGTGCCAAGAGTGGGGACTCAGAGTCGTGAAGTGCATCACAGTCACAGACACTGCTCTTATAGCCCCAGTTCACCCACCAGTGGTTGGCGATGTCCTCGATGGTGGCCCGGCGGTCAGGGTTTACCATCAGCATCCACCGAATAAGTCCTCGAGCATCTAATGGGCAAGAGACAAGGATCAGGAACTACATGGAAGCTTTTAGGTCTATGACAGGGTGACTCTCCAGGAGTGGATAAAGAGACGCATTCACTTTAGGAAAATCCACCTGGAGCTCTGGTCCAGGCCTCACTATGCGGCAGGAACCCAAAGCCCTTCAGACTATCCATCAACAGCATAATCAGAACCGCTGGCCAGTGCCCTCACACCCTGGCAGGCTTTTCCGTGAGTGACGAGTGCTGTTGAACGACTGAGCTTTCTACCATCTTAGATCTTTGTCAAATGAAGAAGGCCAGGGAGCCAGGAAAGAATTCACACCTAGCACCAAGAAGGACCCCTTTTTCTTTGGTGGATATTATTTTACAAAAGAGGAAAATGGGTACAACTTATGATGACTTTCGTTATGCCTTCAAAGGTAGGTCTGAACAAGCTTGCAGCGGTCCCCGGCGCTAGGAAAGTGTGTTGGAAACATAGGATAGAGAGGGGCTCAGAATCGTTTACCTGCCATACCTGGGCAGTGAGAGAAGCCATCCCCAAAGCTGGACTTCCCCCAGGTACGTGCCTGGTTCTGAGACCCACACCCAATGAGCTCACCTTTTCCTCCTCTGACATAAGCCATATCAGATCAGAGAGCTGATCTATATCTGCTACCTGTTCACAGCCTGTCTGAAAAATTCCACTTCAAATTTCTGAAGCCAGGAAGTTAGAGAAAGCCCCAAAGGGATGATGAGGAGGTCACAGAAACCAACTGACTCACAGTTTATAAACTTTTTTTTTTTATTTTATTTAACTTTATTTATTTATTTATTTTAATTTGACCAGAGAAGGAAAAAGAGAAAGAGAGAGAGAGAAAGTGAGAAAGCAAGCTGCCAGGTCCGGGACTCAACCCATGGTCGACCATGTGGAAGTCCGGCGCCCTTAACCATCATGCCGCTTGCCAGCCCTATACACTGACTTTTCAGATCGCCTGTTTTCCCCCAATTAAGGTTATCCTGTGAAGCTGCTACCACCTCTCCTCTGTTGATGCAGGTGAATGAGTAGTTGGCAAAGACTTGGTAATGGGGCCTGGGGTTCCCTGGAATCCCCAAAAGTAAAAGGATGATCACTTTCAGTCAGTCACTCAATAAATATTTCTTAAATGCCTATATTGTACCAGGAATTGCATTTGTACCATGCAGCTGCTGAGGCAAATAAGACCACCACAGTGGTCACCCTGAAATTCTCAAAAAGAACAAAGGCCAGCTTGCTGGAAATAGGAAGGCAGGCAGGTAGGAAGATAGACAGATATCCGTAATACACACGCACACGCACACGCACACGCTCATGCACGCAACAGTAGATCCTCGCTACCCATGGATTCTATATTTGCAAATTTGGCTACTTATTAAAACTTATTCATAATCCCAAAATCAATTCTTGCAGCTCTCTTGTAGTCATTTTTTGTACACCCAAGGAGCAGCAAAAAATCCAAGTTGCCCCAGTACACGGGTGTGCTGTCAGCTGAGTTCAAACAAGGCAACACCCCATAATGTAACATGTCCTTTCTCAGGACAAGTTAAAATGGCTCCCAGACACAGTGCTGAAGGGCTGGCTGGTGTTCCTGAGTGTAAGAAGGGCTGTGTCGTGCCTGGTAGAGAAACTGTGTGTGTGTGAGCTAAGCTCCATTCAGGTGTGAATGACTGTGCTGTTGGCTATGGGGTCTGACATTAACACATCAACAATATATGCTAAAGAAGGTGTCATTAAACTGAAGTATCCTCAAAATGAGGTTGCATATTGATAGGCTGACAAACATAATGTGACCAGAGGCTCCCAAGAATCTAACTCTGGATTTTTTCTAGAACCAATGGCTCAATACTCACCAATTCAGTATTGTTAGGAACTTTATAGAACATATTTACTGTGAATAAGGAGACTCAAATCTATGCATACACATGTGTGTGTGTATATATATATATACACGAACATATATACAGTATGTATATAAGTGAAGTGCCCCGTGTTAACAGCACTTTGTTAACATATACGATCAAAGATGGCCGCCTAGACACACTTTCTCTGTGTGGCATGAAACTCTCCCCTCAAGAGATGGAGCTTACAACCTGAGTTGCTTCAACCAACCTAAGATGGCAGAGTGACAGTATCTGACATCCAAGCACAGAGAGTAATAAATTCTGGCAGCTTCTTCCTGCGTAGGGCCCTGAACTTCCAGGAAAGAAGTTCAGGCTCCTTTTTGAAAAGAGAGGTCATGGAGAGATACCCAAAGAGAGAGTGTCCACAAGAAAGAGCACTGAGGAGTTCAATATGTAGTCCCTGAAGTGACCCCAGCTGCCATCTGACAGCAAAGGTAGGAGAAACCCCAGGCAAGGACTGAGAGCCACTGAGTCGAGAGGTGGTTTCATGGCTGCTGGCTAAAGCACTGAGTTTGCTTTGGGGGTTGGGGTGGGGGTAGGATAGAGTTGTTACACAGCAATAGATCATGAAACAGCATCCATGGACCATCCCCCAGGCTGGCGGCACCGTAGTGAAAGGTAGCACAACTTTCACGGAACTGACAATCTTGGGAGGGTGGTTTATAAGTCTACACAGTCTGACAGGGACTTTATACAATAGGATATCAGTAAGGTCATGGGAAAAAAAGGAATTAAAGGACAAGTTTATTTTGGTACAAATAAATTTTTTCCATAATATGCATTTTCCATAAACTTCTTGGAAGTCTCTGATACCATACCTTTTCTAAAATTTTAATTAATAGTAGAAAAGTTGAATCCAGAAGTTGAATGACTTGCTCAGGTTCACAGAGCAAGCAAACTAGACGCCTGAAACATTTGCTCTGAAAATTTCAATGGGGAAGGTTTGGGTAAAGCAACCTAACAAGTCAGTTTTGCCACAGATGATTTTCTAGAAAGAAGAAAGAAAAAGCAGGAGAATCCTGACAGACATTAGAACAAAAGCAGAAAGTGTGAATGAGGGCAGGCAGACCAATCACCCTCCCAACCTCTACCCTGCACAGGGCACGCACCTGAGGGCTGGGTAGGCTCCCGGTACTCTCCGCTGCTGATCTGTCGAATGAGGTTTTTGTGATCAAAACCATCGAAGGGCATTGTTCCATAAACCAGAGTGTAAAGCAATACGCCCAGGGCCCAGCTGTCCACCTGGAGCAGAAAGATAAGGCATGAGGAAGTTTTGCAGCAAACTCCTGAATGCCTTCCAAGCCATCCACACCCCAACCTGTGAGCAACTACCCCCAACACCCCCAGAAACGGAATTCAGCACCTGGAAGACAGGCGTCCACCATTCCTGAGAACAGATAGCTGGGGCCTGCTAAAGCCTGACCTCTGCGCTTTGAATCAAGGACAACATTCGCAACCTATTTAAATTTTTTAAAAATTATCTTCTCTGATCTTCACTATAATTTTGTGAAGCAGGTAGGGCTAGATTATTTTCAGCCCAATTTGACAGATGAGA